CAAACATTTCCAAACATTTCCAAACATGTTCATTTATAATTAGTAAAAGTACACTTGATTTCAATACAAATGGAGTCCAGTGGTTTTCTTTCCTGATTACTGAATGAAGTGATGCTGACAATAAACTGAGTCTCATTTTTCACCCATCCCGGAGCTAAAACCTACCGAGGGGGGTGCCCCCTGACAAGCTTGGTGTCTTCTGCAAATTTGATGTGTTCCTCATTTTTTCCCTCATCCAAATCATTGATGAAGATGTTGAAGAGTACTGGGCCTAATGTAGAGCCTTGGGGTACTCCACTGCATACTTCCCTCCACATAATGCTTAACATTATTTGACTCTAAGAACATGCTGTTCATTAATTTAAAATGTTATTTTTTTCCTCCCAGAATGTCTGCTATTTCCCTTACTACTGCAATGCATAGTTTTGCAGCCATTCTGAGAAAATGTTTCCCTTTTGACAGTGGTTTGGAGGCAATTCACAAACAATTCTGCTGATATTAATGATATAATTAGATTAATTCGCTATCTAAGAAGGAATAGCTTTCTTATCATATTAACAAAACCTGTCTAAAGAAAGGAGATCATACTTTTTTTCAGCTTTTCTACTACTATATACATTATCCTATTATGAATATCTAAAAGTGACATACAATTTTCAAGTCCTGCATCACCCCACCTCAAAAATTGAGGCATGTTTGTGCGAGCTGCCTATCTAGATTATCATTATCACTCAATTATTTCAATACATTACTTCACATAAACCATGGTTTAAATCTGATCTTCAATCGAAATTGGGACTGAGCAAGGGCTATAGTTACCTTCCAGTCTTTACTTAATAAAGTATGGAAAGAAGAAATCATTTGTTGTAATTTAAAGGAAGGTGAAAACTTACCACTTATTTAAAGGAGGGTGAAAAACGCACCACTGAAATGGTGAGGAAGTCCTGCCTTAGCACTTGGCCATCACAGATGCCGACATAAAGTGATGTCGAGCTGGCCCTGCCCCCTGGCTATGCCCCCCCCCCCAAGGTCAAACACAACCCTGATGTGGCCTTCAAAATTGTAATTGTTATCTTTAATAAAAGTATTTTAAAAAATAATTTATTTGAACAAGCAAGAAACAGAACAGGTATAATTATACTCACATTTAAATTGAATTTAGTAGCACCAGAACTCAAAACAAAACAGATTATTATAGTCTAGTCCCATGTAAATCACTCAGGATTTATTTCTATTGGACATGGAAGCTCTATTGTATGAATATACTATTGGTGTTGATTGCATATGTCTCTTATAAAATCTTGAGGCAGATTAATATTACCTATTGTTTGAACATTTTCCTCAAATTATATGTAAATGTTTATTTATTATGACATTTCTATCTTGTCTTTCAGGACATATTGCACCATAAGAGAGCATGCAAAAACAAAACAAAGCACCAGTAAAATTAATAAAACAGAGTGGAATAATAATGTTTTCAAAATTCTTTAAAAACCAGAAATAAAGAGGCCCATATGTATTTCACTGAATAATACATTCCAAAGTTATGAGGCAATTGAGAAATATTTCTATCCATCAATGCATTGTCCAGCATGAGAGCAGAATCTCTTTAGTAGATCACAGAATTCAAGAAAGCTCATAAAGATAATACCTGCATATCAAGGAAATTTTTATATTCTCTTTTCAAATCCTGTAGTTCTGGTATTCTTTAGCCTCTCCCCTATAACTGCATTTTATACATTTAATTAAACTTACCAAATAAATTATCAACACTTGCTTTTTAAATACCAAGATTAAAAATAAAAAAATCCCCTTTTAATTGTCAATGTAATCCCTTGCTTTGAAATGGGGTCAGGGCAACTGATTGGAGGTGAGAATTTACTGTCCGGATGCCCTTCCTAATGTCTACAGAGAGTTCACAGCAGACAATTACTCATTAACCCAGAGAGAGAAATATCTGCTGCTACCTAAGATCAAACTCACAGCCTCCTGATTGTGAGGTGAGAGCCCCACCTCTAGGTCACGATGCCTCCCAAGGTTAAAAAGAATAATAAACCAACAAAAATTAAAACAACGGAAAGAAAAAGAGCCACTATTGGTATTTTTAAAAACCTGCCCATTAATTTAATAATGCAATTCACTTGCCATCTAAATTGGCCTTTACAGTAGAAAGGTCTTTTAATATATTTGCCAATCAAAGTAAAAATCTTGAAAAGGTTTTATCAGATAATGAACACACAGAGGTAAAGTGAAAGCCATCCTGCTACTCCTCTTTCTAAATTTATAGTGTCTGAATAGGGTCATAAAAACAATAACATCTCACTATAAACATAAATTTCAGTATTCTTATATTTTTTACATAATCATTAAACATATTGATGCCTACCTGGAAAAGTCCATTTTTATTGAAAAAGGTGAATTGAGCCCTGGATATTGCTTCAAGGTCTTCTTGATTTAAATTATTTAGCAAACTTGGAGGCAAAGAAATAGTAGCAAGAGAATTTTCTTGGTTTTTACCAAAATCAATCTAAAACAGAAAAATGAAAAAAAAAAACCCTATCAAAATAGAATAAAAATAGAAACTATTTACCATGTTGAATGAGGGAATATATTGTTTGATTATTTGATTCCTAATTATTTAGTTAACAAGTTTAAGCCCTTCCTCATCATTATAAAAATCAATATTTATTTTATTTCAGTTCATAGGATTATGCCCTTATAAAGAAAATTTTAAATTTGTCTGTATTAAATATAAATATCAATTTAATATTGTTTATTTTTACAAATCAACATTAAGGTTAATTTACTGAAAAATATTTTCATTTAGCAGTCTTTATAATTCAGGTTGTACAAGTACAACTTCTGCTTTTTTTCAAAGCTATAATTTAATGGGTGGATAATACTGCTAAATATATTTTGGTTTGGATTCATTGAGAAGTAAATAATTAAGTGAGTCTGTCTCACCAACCTCTCTCCCAGGGAAGCAACAACTAATAGTTGAAATAGGCCCCAGAGCCCACCTTCAAGAGCTCCTCAATTCATAAATCCTAACAGATTAGATTAGATTAATTTCAGCATGGGCCAGATATGTTTACCACAGAATAGTACTAGTTTTCAAATTCTAATATCTTGTGTCAGGCTTTTTATTAAACTTGCTGTTGAAAGCTCATGGAATACAACAATACTGCATAAGCTAGCTCAAACCCCTTATCAGGTAGGACACAGGTCCAAAGCCTTAAATCAGAGATGGATCACACTCTTCAATCTAGAAACAGAACACGGCTTACGTGCCCTGCCGGGAACCACAAAGTGTGTGGCCAGAAATGTCATAACATCTTCAGCAATTTAGGACTAAATTGCTCAGGCGGATGCCAACATGTAACCTCCCCATATCAGCTGCATTCTCTACCAAACCTATGAGGTTGCCCTCCCATAACTACTTAAAATGCCCTTGTAAGAAAGCATTCACAGAAAGATGAATTGACCCTGGGTGGTAGCAGAGAAGAATAAATCAGGAACTTGTGGCCCAGTAAACCAAATTGTTTCTATTCATTGACCATATCTCAAAGATAATGTAGCTAGCATGCTGACCTAGCAGGATAGGGTAAATAATAATAAGGTCACATGGATGGCTTTATCTAAAACATTCCACACTCAGTTTGCCTTTTTCTTTGTCTTGTCTTTGCTATGCAGTGGGCCAAAGGTATACAAAGCTCTGGTTCTGCTTTTCTCATGCCAGTTCAGAGTGTCAATGTTTTGTTGGGAGCCCTGTTGCATGCAAATGAAATTATATTGTATCTTCAACACGATTCAGTTGCTTTAGGTGAACCATGTTTTTACAATATTTAAGGGTTTAAAGAACTTACTTGCCCTTAAACTACTCCATGGAAAAAATCTAACAGGTATTTTGGGGGGATGAGAAACGGCAGCAATTTTTAAGGAGTAAAATAGGTGTTTTAATTTGCAAGACATCTTTTTGGCTTTTTTTTTTAAAAAGAAAAAGGTTTTATTTCTTTTAAAAAACACAAATATTTCATCATTCGTCAATCATTAAAACATTGAAGTACAATTTTTTTTGTATGCCCCTCCCTCCCTGCCGAGTAGCTCTTTGAGGGCGTGCATCCCGGAACAACTCATTGTTGGTTTCTGGATCACTCTCCCTTGTCTC